TGGTCATTCTGCAAAACTTGTTGCAGCCTCAAGTGCGTCTAAGAAGTAGCTCGGGATTCTCGCCATTTGCGCGAGCACAAAACATCATCAATAGTGCCTGCGGCTGTTGCGCCAAGGTTGTTGGAGAGGTGAGGACTTTGTGGGCCAAATGGCAAAAATGGCCCACTCTGTCTCCATGGGGGTCTCCTCTTGCAGACTAAGTCACTTATACATTTATACACTTAACTGGTTTGACAAACATGGAGATAGTCGTGGGAACATGATCTTTACATGAGGGGTGCTGAAAGTAGCTTCTTGGACAAGTATAGATGAAAGGACTTGGTTTCAACAACAATGTCCAAAATATGAAAGTTCACGTGGTGCAAACTCACACGTTGCCGGAGTGCACGCCAGGCCTACATACTGCAATCGTGGTGTATAACATGTGAACAAAAAACAAATTAAAGAACCAACCAGAAGGAACGACTTAACCTGCCATTGATGCCGTTGCCTTAAGGCTACGCTTCCTTACGGAGGCTTCAGGACGTCATTCCCCAGAGAGGCCGTGGGGAACCACCGTCGACTGTGGCCTCCGGGCCTGAGGTCCTCCGAAGTGGAACACCAGATCGAAAGAAACGGAACGCACTCGACAGAAGGATCGCACGAACAACATGCGATGGCCGTCGAAGGTGTTGGCCGTCAATTGGGACAGACTCGGCTGTCGAGCTGAGCTGATGGAGCTCATGTGGTCCCGGGTCCGGGATGACGGTACGAACGAAGGGTCGATTGCTTGGTGGTTTTGGGGTGTTTTTCGGTGTGACACACCTGTTGGAAACCTCTCATCTTCATCAGCCGACTCTGGTGAAGAGGTTCAGAATGACAGTTCCCACATACAAGCTGTCGAATGAGTTTCTGAGAACTCCAAAACATGTGGAAAAACCAACCAATCTACATGTCTGTTTGATTTTGTCCACTGCAGCACTGCAGGCAAGCGGTGCTTGCTGTGGTCATATCCGGAATCTGAAGTTTGAGGATTAGGACCCGCGCAAGGAATCGCACATTCTGAGTGAACATGGACCTCCTGATCCTCACGACCGCCGCGGATGGTGAGTTCATCAGCTGAATTCAGCGGTGGATATGAAGGATCTCACACACACAGTCACACACACACACACACATCATGTTGAATGTTTTTTTTCCACTGGGTGGCCCCAACAGGCTTCAAAACAATACATGTTCAGGAGGAGGGGATTCAATTTGAACTTCAACACCTGCTATATATACTATATATATAAGGAACTTTCACAAAAGTTAGTCTTTTCAGGTTTGGTTCCATGAGGTTCTTGAGTGGGTTGGACTGGACTAGAGTGATGTGTGCTTGCTTCCACCCATGTTCTTGCTCCACAGCCCATTGGTTCCAAAAACAGAGGGTTCCCACGACATGTCGATGAAGCGGCCATCTTCATCAGCGTGGAAGAAGCCAGCAGCAAAAATTTTCAAGAAGCCTTCTTCAAGGACCGCTGGGGAGATATGGGTAGCGGCTGGGAAAGGCACTGCAGTGAAGGCAGTGAGGAAGGCAAATAGTCGGGATTCATGAGTTGCGTCTGGCTCAAAAGTCAGCCAGCACAAAGTATAGCTCTTGAAAAGGGAAACCGTGCAAGAGCACATCCATTACAAGAGCACATACAAAGAGCACATCGCATTAAATTCATCCATGACAATTGGACGACTCTATGGTTTTTTTCAAAGGTTGCAAAGGCCCAAATCAAATCACTTCATGCCAGCCAAACATCGCCATGCCAGCCAGAGTGGCACTTGGCACACTCTTGACGCGAAGGTGCACATGCTCGCAAGTTAATTGCTTCCAGCAATTTGCTGAAGCAGCTGGGGAGGTGCAACGAGAGAGAGAACGATTCCAGGCCTTAGATGCCATTGACAAGGACATGATTTGGAAAACTGTCACTGTGTGTTTTCAATCCGTTAGTTTTTAAATGGAGTGGGCAAACTATTATCTAGCGGGATGTCGTTCAATCGTTTGAGGGTTCCCAGGGCTCCTATAAATTTACATGAAGGGTTGACCATGCTGCAAGGAAGCTTTATTGAAGAGATGGTACCATGCTGACAGTGGCAAGGATTTTGAATCTGGAGCTGCCCCAATTTCCAGCGTGCTTGTGGAAACAGATTCAGAGTGTGATGTTTTGTTGCAAAGCGAATCGGATCAAGAGCATCTATTGGCCACTCCTCCTGAGAGCGAGGGCGAACTATTGCTAGAAACTGAATCGGAAGAGGAGTGTGCAGAACCAGTGTCCAAAAAGCCTCGCAAGTACTGGGACCAACGGACTACAAGCCACAAGCTGATGTTTTTGAATCGGTCTGTGTGTAGAGCTGCTCACATGAGATTGTACTCCGTCGGATCTGGTGCATTGCAAAACATGCGCGCCGGAAACCAAGCATATACAATGCAATCCGGGCGTCTCCAGGAACCACACCATCCTTCTGTTGGAGTGTCCATGGTTCGGTCCCATGAGAACAAGAAGTGGCCATCGGTCATGTCGTTCTTTTGGATCCTCTGGATCAGTTGCGCAGAAATCCTTCCAGTCAAGTTCACCATGCCTGGACGCTATGAGGGAAACACTATGGTGGAATCTCACATGTCTAAAGACCCGGATTTTCAAGAGAGGTATGTTCAACATTTCTTGGCCTGTCTCGAAAGAAACTATGATATGAATCCAGTCACTGGCCTGCTACTTTATGACATTTTTTTAGTGTGATAATGTTGCCACCCTCCATATGTCTATATTGGGATGATGTTGACTGTTCATTGCTGGAAAAAACCCTTACCTTATTCTTCTTGAATCAAGTCCTGCGGGCCAAGGTTGCCCATGGTGGGCCTGGAACCTTCAATGGGCCAAGGAGGTACCTGGAGTGGCAAAAGCCTATTGACCTGTTCTATCAGTACCAGGGGTACTGTGAGGCTGCCGGCGTTCAAATGGCGGGTTTCTCCACATTTAGAAGAATCATGAAGAAAATGTTTGCTACACACCTGCGTTTCAGGGACAAGGGTGACTTCGGCCAATGCGATGTGTGCCACAGATTGAGGAAACGCATCAGGACCGCATCTTCAAAGATTTTGAGGGCTGCGAACGTTCGCCTATACACCCAACACTTGCTACACCAATGGGCTGACAGACAATATTACTGGAACCAGCGAGCTCTTAGCCGTAATTACTTCTCACAAGCCCTTCATTTCAGCAAACGTTTGGGTGGTGCCGAGCTGGCTTCTTCAGTGATAACTGTAATACAAGACGGAATGGACCAGGCGAAGCTGAGGATACCAAAATGGGGTTATTGCAAGTTGAGCAAGGCGGCCACCAAGTTGTACCGTCCGGCAACCCACTTGCTGGCAAGTTGGGTGCATGGGTTCAGGTTATACCTGTACCTGTCAGATGAGGACCTTAAAAAGGACAGCGAGACCCAGCTGGAAGCCCTATGCCTCTCCCTCCAGCACCTTTTTGACCACGGTGCTTCTTTGGCGATGACTCTGCACGTCCAACAGGACAATTGCGCCCGGGAGGGGAAGAACAAGTACGTCTTGGCCTTCATGTTGTTGCTCCAAATCTTGGGTGTCTTCCGCTACACAGTTTTGGGATTCTTGAGAACGGCCCACAGTCATGATGACGTGGATCAAGTTTTTGGTCAGGTGGCAAGACTCTTGATGGGAAAAAGTTGTCAATCAGCATCTGAAATGATCAGCGTTTTGGAACAATGCATTGACCATGGGCACGATTCCGAGAAAGTTGGACGCATTCGCGGTTCCGTGGCTTCAGTATCCAAGCTGGATCAGGTGTCCTGCTGGAAAAAGTTTGTTGCCCAAATAGGCCTTTCATTTAAAGGTCTGCGGAATGTGCACTACATGAGGTTTTGCTGTCGACGCGACTTGGGGTCTGACATTCTCGACAACGTTCATGAGTTGGAAGAATTTGGCTCGCGATTCGAACCTCACAGTGATGATGTGTTCATGATAACAAAAAAAGTGGCTGTCCGATACCCAGGTCACACGCGCGCTGGTGGTTGTCCCTGCGGCAACAGCGCAGCAAATCAGAAATGGACATCATCCCCCAGGGGGACTGGCCAACCGAAGATCTATCAGTGAGCAAGTCCAAAAGAATCTACAGAAACGGGTCCCAATTTGCCAACGAAGTGGTGAAGTATCAGATGAGGGTGCTCGGTATTTGCTTGGTTGGAGTCAAGGTACATTGCCACGAAAACCAAAACCAGTACACTACACCTTCATGCGCCATCGGTGGTCAGAGGCAATGCGTCGGGAAAACTATCATCCTGGAAGATGGCAACAACCACGGCATGTGAGACACTTTGATCTCACGCTGCAAAGTGACGCCATTGGCAGTGACAGCTCGGATTCTGATGGGCCAGTCGATCTACCTATAGGAATGGCAGACTAAGCTTTCGGAAGGATGGTAAAATAATGTTGGGTGTCTTTGGGATCAATTCGTGTGCGGTCGTTTCCTGAAGTCTAACTTGATATTTCCGAGATATACCGACTAATATTATATTATATCCGAGTAATGATTGGTCCCAAACTAGATTGGGTACACCATCATCATACCCTATCCTGTCCATACCCTATAATATAAACACTCTGAAAGCTCATTCCATACAATGTGACAATCAAGCGGTTGTTCATATCACAAGATTGATAAATCAAGCCGCTCAGTGTTCACCTGGTAGTCCAACCAACAACCCTGACACCCAACCATTGGTGAAGAATTGAATATGTCTTTTCGTTGGGGCAGCATTGCTGGAATCGTGACCAGCGAGCCTGCCAGGACTTCGAAAGAAGATGCTGAGCAGGATGAGATTCTTTATGGTTCTGACTATGAAGGCAGGGATTGCAGGGCATATGCTACATGGGAAATAATAAAGGCACATTAAATTAAATCTCTCCCTGTGAACAGCATTAGTCAACGTCAATTCGATGACATTTGGGGATATCTAGTAAAGTCAAGTCAAACAGCCGGCCACTGCCAGGTGCGGGCGCATCCGGGACTGCTTCACCATCTTTGCTTCTGGCCTCATCAGATGAGGAAGTGACAATGGAGGGCGACAAGCCGTGTGGAAAGCTGGCTCCCATTCATGGGGAACCAGGGGTATCTTGATCAATCCATCCATCCACGATGATGATGCTGTTTATTGTTGATTTTTTCATGGATCATGGCAGTACACGAAGGGTCAAACATCATGTACCTATGATGGTTTGGAACAAGGAGGTTTCGATTCTCGAGATAGATTATAATAACTTATTAGGAAGAAACTCAGAATTATTCTCAGTTTCTTCCAGTGGGATTTTGGGGTGATGTGTTGGTGGAACTGTAGGAAGACCTTTTGTCGTAACCCTAGGTAGATGCCTTCGTCAGGGACTTTGTGCACAACCCTGCCTTTGAAGAGATTCGGGAAAAGTTGGCGGACACTTTTCGCCATGTTGACACGCTCAGAGTTGGCAGCATGTTCACTGGATGGGGGGGTCTTGGAAATGGTCGTGGATGCCTTGACGAATGAATGGAACACAGCTCCTTCCACACCCCCCTGATGCATTCATGGAGGCTGTGGGGTGAAGTGTTGGGCATGGGTTCCCAATTATGTACATTGACATTACTTTAAATATCGTCTAAGATTAATACGCAACGTAGCAATTTAGCAAATATCTCATCTACACTTTGACGATCACCTTGGTTTGGGCTAACAGCCACAGCTTCAACATACATCCTAAAGCAAAGTATGGTCAAATAGAATAATAGCAAACTACTCTCTTTTGGGAAAGTCCCATGGCACTTAGCCCAAAAGGTCAGCTTAGAATCAAATGAACAATGAACCCACTTCTTCATGTGTCCAAATTTCACCAGCACCTCCTTGGGAAGCCAACACCCCAAACCATGTCAACCCGAAACTAACTCCCATTGCCCCGCTTGCTCCAGGTCAAGCTGTGCTTCATGGCCGAGATCGAGGAAGCCAAGGCACAGTACTTGGCAACCAGGTTTCCTGGAACATACGTGTTCAAAGATGCAGCGGAGATGGACAAGAATTTTGCCAAAACATGGACGGATGGTAAGGCTGAGAAGGTTCCCGAGGCGTAAGCTGAAGTCAAAAATTACAGCCAGTTCTGATGTAACAGTTCGTCTCAATACATTTTTAACAATGTCTACTCCAAAGAAGTCTATGGCACTACACGACTTACACCTTGTCCCTCCAGGTTGATCTATTGGTGGGTGGCTTCCCGTGCGTAAACCTGTCAGTTTTGACATCTACACCTGGGAGCGTTGTGGACACAGAGTGCTCATCTGGGCGGGGATACCTTGGCTTGGAGAGCTATGTGAAAAAAACATAGGCCACGCCTGATTCTGTTGGAGAACGTCGCCACTATGTTTACTAAACGGGATGTTGAAGGCGGTGAATGCCCGTACCTTGAAATGTTGGGTAAAGAAATCGTTCGCTGCTATTGCTGGTGGTAGCTCATTATACTATTAATACTCAGCATGCCTGTTGGACAGACCGAGCATCCCGGACCCCTTCAAGCGTCAGTAGCACAATTCGGTACTCAGGTATGCCATTGTGAGGCGACGACTTCAGAAGCTTGGCTACTCGGTGTCAGGGGGACTTCGAAACACAGCGGATTTTGGATTGCCACAGCAAAGGAGGCGAGCCTGGCTTCTTTGCCACCTTCAGTCGGAAGTCCAGTGTTCTGCTGATGAGCTCACCTCGGATATCAATCGCTTTCAGCGGTGCAACGTTCTGCTGGACAAGTGTGTGGATCTTTGCCCAAATCGTACGGACACCAAAGGTAGGGCTCCAACAAGATCCAAGAAGGGGGACGCTGGGCAAATGAAGTGGAAGGAGGGCTTTGAACAACAATGTGAGTTCTATGGGAAGGCGGGGATTCTCAAAATCACCCTGGGAACAACATGTGTTCAAGTCCCTGTTGCAAAGTGTGCCTATGCTAGTCGATCAAACCAATTTCATTGTGGGTTCCCACTCAATCCCCAGGTGAAGCTTGAGGGCCGAGTTCGTACGCTCAAACAGCTTGTGGATGGATGCAGCGACCGGGAGATATGTATTCTGGCAGTGGCCATGGAGGACATGGCCACCACAAAAGGATTTGATGCTATGAAGCAGTTGGCGGTCATCCAAGTGGAATCTTTGATGGTTTAGCCTAAGTTGTTGATTCCAATCGTCGATATGCCAGCAGCACATCGCCAGTCTTGAACACTTATTATTATTTAACCTATGGATCTGTGGTATGGATAGTAATAGTAATGAAGGAGAATATTCATGTCGCAAACCACCTTCCATGCACCCTTGGTAGGCTTTCCCATATCTGATCAGGATCAGAACTTTGATCGGGCTACCTGGGCGCGATCGGATGTGTCCACCACAACGTGCATCATTCCTGGTGGAAAGTATGTGGCTACGGGGCCTGCTGGTTTCCACGTGCTCTCAGCCAAGGAACTGGAGGGTTAACCAGGCGAAACGCCTTACCAAGGGGAACTACAAGAAAATAGTCATTGGCATTGCTGATAAGTAAGTCAGTCTCAATACAAACAACGATTCAGAAACAAATAAAACAACAAAGGCACCCAACCGCATGAAAACAGGCTACCAAAAAAGACTATGAGTCCAAGTAAGTCATTGAGCCTACAAACCTCTTGCCCTTTCTTCGGCCTTATTCTATGATTACACCCTGAACTCCTTTCATCGTTTCTGCCCAGATTTGATTTCCTCTATCGATAGGAGCTTGCGCGCCTGCAAGGGGTGGGCACGAGCGAATGGGTCAAATACCGCATGTCAGACAAGTCGGACCATTCAATGCGATCCTTCATTGGGAATTCGCTGCTTGGCATGTTTTGGGATCGGGCTCACATGGCAATTGAATTGGTGCTGAGAAAAAAAAGGCACCCCTTCATTCCATTGCCAATCGTGAATCGTGAATGGTACATGATCTAACCAAAGAGTTCTGAACAGCATGGAGAAATCTAGGTTTGAAGCAAGGACCCTTAGTCCTTGCAACTGCCAGCGCGACTGCGAGGTTTAGTGTCCCAGTGCACCTGGCAGCGCTGGTTGCCCTCCTCGCCAACTGGAAGCCGCATCTTCCTTGAGCAGTGCTGTTTGGTTCCCAACGCCAGTCGGTGTTGGCTGTAGTGATCGGTTCACTGTGCCCCAGGGCATTTGTCTCATCATGAGGTCACGCATTTAGCAATTAAAGATCATGAACTTTCTATGTGCGGATGGTAATGATCATCCTCAATTAAAGGTTCAATGCAGCAACCCACCTTGTTGCTGAAAAAGTTTCCAGCCCCTGACTCACTCAAACCGAGTTGAACTTTGTTTCAGAGTTTTCTGCACAGTCTTCATTTCGGCAAGCATTCCAAACTGCAGTCTACAGGTTCTGAGGTTTTCTAAAAGACACTTCCTGTGAGTTGTATGTTTGCCAAGATTTGGGGCACAATCTTTACCAGTTTCAGGGTAGGGCCTGGGAAGCCATGCCGCCCAAGAAACGTCAGAAGCTCGCCAATTCCAACTCCAAAGCGAACGCACCCCAAACAATCTCTGAAGTTGCACCAGGGCGCATCGAACTGAAGGATTGGATCAACCTGGTCCATCAAGGCCGGCACGGCTATCCTGAGAAGAGGAAGTGGCCTCTGGAAGTTGGTGGTTCGTTTTTTGGATCTAGTCCAAAGGTGTTGGTGCGATGAAGATGCCTTGCTTACCGACAGCCTGACCCTTGTGAAGAAGCTTGGAATCATGGACAGCGCCAGCACTGAAGATGACTTCATTGCCAAATATGTTGCAGCACAGGACCAAGTTGACAACACTGCTGTTTCTTTTCTGCTCCTGAAAAGGATAGGCCTACTCCCCACCACACACAGGACACAGATTTGCCTACCTGCTAAATGTCTGAGTTTGGGGCAGCCAACCAGAGAAAGGCCAAATGCTTCTAGCACATGACTCATATGGCTAATAGAAATACAATGACCGTTAGCACTTCTTGTCAGATTACCTACTTAGACCTTGAAGGACTTCACACCGGGAAGCTTTTGCACCACTTCGATCTTGCAGTGGAGCTTCGCCAATGACAGCTTCTGGAGGCTTCCAGATATGGCCACAGTGCTCGACATAGCCAAGAGCGTTGCTCTAGTGGGATGGCGAGATGTGCCTTGGATTTTCCAAAGCTGCCCAATTGGCTTGGGTGACTGGGAATGGGAAGGCCAGGGTTTCCCCACTCCTGGGCTGGGCTGGTGATGGAATATGGTTTGGGTGGTGCCAAGAGGAAAAGAAAAAATAAAAAAAAATAAGGATTTTAAATTAGAATTCAATACAGAGCTCGCCGCCTAGGGGCTCCCAAGACCGACCCTTGGGTGGAGAGCTCTTCCAGGAAGAGCTCGCCGCCCCAAATGGTGAAGCTCACAGGGGCCAAAACCACACTGGAGAGGGCTGGAGTACTTAGGCTTGGGAATACAAAGGGCCTAGACTGAGGGGATGCATACCAATATAAGCCACCAAAAAAAAATTGGCTACCCGATGATCTGGGTGGAGAGCTCTTCCAGGAAGAGCTCGCCGCCCGGAGGCTTCCATCCAGAAAATTTGGCGGAGAGGTGGAGAGCTCTTCCAGGAAGAGCTCGCCGCCCACCCGGAAGCCAACAGCTCGCCACCCAGATCCAACCCAATAGCTCGCCACCGAAAACACTTGGTTCCCTTGTTTCATATGAACTTGATCAATAAAGAGCACTATAAAGTAAGCTCCAATCACCACCACTCTTTGTATCATTTTGGATAGGTTGTGGGTCCATCTACAATTTCCAACTGTATGCCAACCCTGCCCACTCGTTTCGATGACCCACGTGCAAGTCAGTTGCCAAGGGTGAAGTCCTTGGGATGCGATTGCCGCCTCACAATAGCATCAATGCTGGGGACCCTGCGCACAACTACCTGTATTTTGATGATGGTGGCATGCGGGGGCTGGCATGTGCTGTGGTTTGGTGCAGCCTTCTCTACCATGGCCTCACACTGAAGGAGGAGGAGCTTACATCTACCCCTATGGTGGAGCTGTGCCGAAGCTTGCTTGCGATACCTACATTTCACAGGAGTGGTCCTGTGGATGAGGCTGCGGGAATGATCCGCAGAATCATCAAACAGAACGTTGATGCCAAAAAGCAGGCCGTGTCCAGCTATGAATGGAGCATGATCTTAAGCGGCCTGAGCTCAAAGGGTGCATCGGCCAAGGCACCCACCATGCAGGAAGCCATCGACATGTACAACAGCAATCCAGAGGTCGCTGCACATGGCGGAAGCAGTGGAAAGGACAGGCTACCCAAAAAGGATTGAATGTAGACTTCTAGGTCTGTCTGTAATGGGTGACTTGAGCTGTGCAAGTACCTACCACCTGGTATATCACAGTTTTTGTTCCGTCTCAATATTCAATAGACTAGACTACCTCGTATTATATCATAAATAATGCCCATGGTCAGTTTCCTGCGCCAGGAGAAGGGCGGAGCAGGATCTCTCTTGTTAGATGGCAAGAAACAGTACGCCATCAAGCATTGGCTTGAGCTCACATCAAGCGAAGCACATGAACAAGTTCGTATCTCTTTGAAGGATGGGCCGTTCCAGTTCGGTCCGTGGGGCGAGCAGCTCAGTGTCCTCAAGTTCCTGTTCATGGATTCTGTTGCTGGTTTGGCCCCAATGGCTGCGTCAGAGCTCACACCTGCCAACCAGGAGGCCACAGTGACCATCAATTGGAGCCTTCCATTGGATGGTGCTACCCAGGCTCTGCTCTTCATGAGGATCCGGAAAACATTTGAAAGAGCTACAGCTATCATTGACCAGCCATCCGATCAAAAGAAGTATCGAATGTCGGAGGAAGACCTCCAATCGCTGAGGAACCTCATGTGCGTTTGGGGCCAGATTCGATCCTTCTGTGCCTCCCGCATCAAGAACTTCGATGACCTGGACAAAGCCATTTGCTCCGGCAACTCAAAAGACCATGAGCTGCAAGCAGTTATGGATGGCCGTCCAGCTCAGTTCGGAGTTTCCATGCTGCCAACGTCTCAAAAGGAGGCGCTCGATGCCATCAGGGTTCAAGAGGAGGGAGCCAGCTTAGAAGTTGAGAAGGAACGTGTCGCAGTGAGGGAAGCTCGCTGGAGCTTTTTCAAGGGTGCATTACTTCGTGACCAAGAAAAACTCAAGCTGACACATGAGGCTCCCAAGAAATTGGAAGCCTTGAAGCATCGCAAGCTGGTAGCTTGGAGGGTGGAGCAGTCGAAGCTGGGAGAGCGAGTGATCAAGTCGTTCATGGACAAGTTTCTTCGCTGTGACCTAGTCGCCAAGCCTTCACTGGCCCAACAGAAGATCAATGAATTCCGCTCCTATGTGGTTTCTGGTTCAAACTTAGCTCATAATTTTTTCAAGTGTCGTTTACCCTTGTTTGATTTCAACTGCTCCAGGCCAAGCTGAGAATAACGCAATGACTAAACACAGGCTTCCGCCGAGGAGTTTTCCCTCCCCACACACGACTTCAGTTGTTCCTGAAAAGTATTTCTCATGATGACCTGAAAACCATATCCCCCTGGAAAAGGGGCCACTGCTTTTGGCTGAGGCCCAATCTTGTGGATGCGCAGCTGATCAAGATCTTTATTGCATTTGCATTGTGGACATGAATGTCCCTGGGGCCAAAAGCACTGAGACCCTTGGAGACCTTTGCTCTTGCTTGCAGTTCTGCAACGACCTCGCCCCCAATCGAACATTGGGTCTCCTCGAGCTGCCGGAAGTGGCAAAGAAATCCTCGAAGAGGGGATTATGCGATGAGGAGGCAGAGGTTCAGAACTGCCTCTGGGCTTTGAGGCAGAGCTGCGACGCTCGCTGGATTTGCCCCTTCAACGTGCACCCAACGGCAGAGGCACAGACCAATCGCAGGCAGGGTCGGCTGTTCATTGATCGAGTATTCTTGTTGAAGTAACTTTGCAAAAGTTCAATCTTGAACAACTAGCTGGGAGAGTCACAACACAAAGCAGCCTTCAGTTGGTGGTATATGGTGGTATGGCCCTGACGATTCAAATACTACCTAAGGACAGTGACAGATACTTATTAATAAGGATATCATGATATTGTTCACATATGTTCAAGAAACCCTTCAATCAATCTCTGTGTCCAGGCGATTCAGCTCCGGCCGCTTGGTGTGCAACGTGGATGCCTCCAACGACAACCTCTTTCTCACTAGCTCTGAGTTGGGTTTGTGTGGGCGACCCCTTCAACTGGACGCTGACCTCACGTTGCCCCTTTCAAAGGAGATGATCTTGCCGGAGAGCCTGGACGTTGAGGCGGACCTCAAACAAGCTGAAAGGCAGAGACCTTCCAATGAGGCTTGCGCAGCACAGAAAGGCACTCGGAGATGGGAAGCCTTATTGCAATCACTGCTGATTGTCAATGGCGAGAGCCTGAAGGGGAAGCCTTGCATTGTGGTCAACTTCACGCCATACATTGAAGATGTTGGGTGTGCAGTTACCTGGCATACTTAGGGCTGGAACCTCAAATTTTGAACCCTCCAAAGAGTCGTTCTGGAAACCAATCCTTGGTGTTATATACAAAATTTGAAGGTTTCGGCTTAAGCTACCCGTGATGATGATGATGCTTCCCGGCCCAGACCAGTTCTTCAAGCGGGGCAAATGCATATTGCCATGGAATGATGAGCCTGATAGCCCCCAAGAGTCATCTAATGCTGTGACTTGTACTACTCTTCAACAAGATGAGAACGTTCTTAGCGAGCCATCTCCGCATTCAGAACTACCGCTGGGCTGGCAATGCATACCAAAGAACGCCGGGGTGGACATTCGGGTCCAGCGACCCTCATTGACAGTTGGCCACATAGTTCGTCACTGCAAGGACTGGCCCATTCACAATCCGTTCATTTTGCGAATGTAACATCAACTTCATGCAAATTTAACCCACAATTGCTGGAACATACACAACATCTTCACAAAGGCTAACAGCAAAAACAACCACTCTGACTGTCTAGCAGGACCAAATCGACCGAGTTCGAGAAAAACATGGTGGAAAACAACTCGCAGTGTTCAAGATTGGCATCACGCAGTGCTTGCAAGTTCGAGCTGAATACTACTACGCAGAACAATTTAGTGAGATGCGTTGCATTCACGCCAGCAATTCGCTTGCACAAATTGAAACGTTAGAAGCATGCCTGATCGATTTTTTACTTAGAAACAGATCCTGGCCCTTGTCGCAACATCGCAAAGGGTGGCGAAGGAATGCGTACAAAGCGCGGCAAGCCTAGAAATCAGCCACCCTACTTCCTTTATGTTGTTGCGGCTAATGCTTCTCAAATGAAACGCATTGGAGGCTGAACTAAAAGAGTTCAACCTGGTAGCTTCAGTTGACACCTAATTAAGCTGGATGAGACATGTTGTGCAGAACTTGGGGAAAGAGATATCCTGAAACACTGCTGTGGTGGTATGAAGGTCCTCCAGTCTCAAATCTTGGGAGTTACACCAAGCCTATAGTCACCAATCTTATGTCAAGGGATTCCAAGGCCACCTAATTTCATATGAATGAACACCTTCAATTATTGATAGGCCTCAATCGGACACACTGAATGCAATCAAAGGGATTCCCCAAGGATTTCATTCGCCACCCATTCACCATCACTCACCTAAGGTTTTCAAGATGCGGCTGGCAAACCAAGAACTCAAGGGCGGCTTCAAGACCGACATGCTCTTCTACCATTCGGTGCAATGGATCGTGAAGGACAGCTTCGGTCACGCGAGGCTCACTCGCGAAGTGACGGATTCATGGGTCCAGCGAAAGTTCGAGCACGGCGGACACTACTTCAGCAATGAAGTTCCGGAGTTGAGCGAAAAGGAGATTGACAGCATTCCAGGAGCCCGTGCATCTTTGGGGAACCTGGATTCGATGACGTTTGAAGTCCTAGAGCGGATGGGTAATCGGATGATGATTAAGTCCGATGAACACCGGCCCCTTGTCATAATTTCTCATGATTTGAGGGTTTCCCCACTTTCAGTGCAATGTGGCATATTGTGGCCCCTGTTGAAAGAAACTAAGCATGAACAGTTTTCAACTTATCTTACCTGGCCTTTCTTTCCTTTAGCGTATCCAAGTCCAAAAACTAGCTGCCTGGTAACATCCCTCAGGTTTTGGTCTTCGCAGACTGGTGGAATCCTGACGGAGTATGAGGCCTTGCGGCATCAACACCTCGACCTAGTGGGTCAATCTCCAACAGTGGCTGCGGCTGCTGCTTCTGAGCAGCCAAATGCCGCTTCGGCCGGTTCGGGTTCGAGTGACGCTGGAGTTTCGGAAAGCCCTCCGGCCACAACAGAATTGGAGTCCGTATCCAAGCTCCAGGAAACTGTTGGGATTGAAGTGAGGGTGGCCAGCGAATGCAGCCATGTGGAACTGATTCTTGGATCTGACAAATCGGTGTGGTTGGTCAGCGATCAACAAAAGACCATTGGGAAGCATTGTGTCTTAGGAGGGTACGGAACGGGACAGTGGGTCCCAGAAGCTGAATGCTCGGAACCGGGGGTTCCCTTCGCTATGAAAAGTGACCAGAGCCTCGTACAGATCGATGAAGGTTCCTTTGCCGCGGAGGCCCAGGGATTCCAAACGTTGACCCTGTACAAGTTGCTGCTGCGAGCAGAGAATGAAAAGAACTTGACAGAACACCGCTTCAGCTTCCTACAGATCCAGCGGAAATCTTCGGTGGAGGCAGGGGAGGATGGATTCGATGTGTCATTGAAAGGGGCAATGACTTTTCGATGCCTACGGGATCCGCGTGCTTTTGGTGCACAAGGCCGGGTTGATGAGAAGGTGACCTCCAAGAACTTTTTTTCCAAGTGCTTGGGCCCTACCCTTCCAAAGGAAGCTGCTCAAACAGTGTTTCGCTATCGCTTTGAGCGTGTGGGCCAAAACTTTAAGATCCAGCGTCCATACGTCATCACATCGCATTCACTGACGCTTCAAAAAGAGAAGCCTCTCAAGCTGGTATAGAGTGCCGAGCACTGGCTGCAGGCCATCATGTGTTTCTATGGGTGTTGACAAGATTTTAGAAACACAGTCAGTCCTGATCCTGACTATCTAACATCTACTACTTAACAATAAGTTGGTGTCCTTTGTTTCGTTTGCAATCAGTGCCTCAATGCCCTCAGGATCCATTTTGGATGATGGCTAGTCTTAGATCGAAACCGATCTGACAGAACACGATGAGCTTGGGGAAGCCTTTTGAACACCGTTGAACAACAAATCGTATGGCATGCTTATTGTTCTAAATTGGATCAATCCAGAACAATTGTTTCCGTTGACACTGACCTTACTTCAGAGTTAAGAGACACTCCCAAAAGTTTGAGTGACCTTAATGACGGTGTGTGGCATTCGACCAGATCCGCAACCAAGCTTGTCTCAGTTAGCCTTGTTGGATCTGAGGCAGGTTCTGCGTCCGTGGGTCTGCGAGAAACCAGTGAGAGGGTCAGCGCTGCTTCTCTTTTGGGTCTGAATAGCTAACCCTGAAATGCAGTCTGTCTGACATGTTCTTCTTACGACTTACTGTTGATGTTGGAGGGTTTTCCTATCAACCTGCTGTATCATTTTAGAAGCATTTAGGATCCAACAGCCTGCCTCCTGCCTTTTGAGTTGTTTTGAGTTGTTTCCATGGCCACGCGCCGCCGCTACGTGCTTGTTGGAGACCTCGCTAGGGTCACCTATGAGGACGTTCTGGATCTATGGAAGAACCTTCTGGGTGTGTATGGCCTTCCCACCTTAGCCCATCTTGGCCAGTTTGGCCACGAAAACATCCGTGAAGTGTTGATGAAGCTGGCAATTGTGTGGAGTGACAACCCCCTCAATTTGGATTCCGTGTTGGAGACCGTGCTGATCTTGACATGTTGGCATTGTATGACTCAAACGTGCCAATTCGATGGGGAAGGCATTCTTGAGGAACCTGGGACGTTTCGGCTGCGATGCTGGATGGACCGTTCTCACATTTTCCTTGCCCCAAGTCCACAGCCATCAACACCGCTGCGCATCAAGTTGGCCCCCTTTGTGGCTACTTCTGACATGAAAGACCGCCTACTGAAGGAGCTGGGCTTGGCTTTGGAGCAGCTAGAGACCCTGTGTGGCTTAGCGGGAAAGCACCCCCAATTGCTTGGTAGATTTCAGGTTTGTAACAGCTTGCTTGATGATGTTCAAGCAGCAGTTACGAGTATGGCAGTTGCCAATTGACTTGAAAGAAGTCGTGGGACTTGGTGGATTTTGGGAGCGTGGATCTGACAAAAGAGGATTTAAACGACAAATTATTATCAACCCGCACGACAAACCAAATGACATGTTTCGTCTTCAGCGCTCTAAGTAATACAGTCCACCTCTTAGTAGCTGTGAATGCAACTAACTATCATTATTTCAGTTTCTGTTGCTAACACAGTGTGGCAGTGTTAGCTGATTGCATTATATTGCATTGTATAATGTCTCATGCTCTATGTTGAAGCACTGCAATCAGTGACTCATGGTTTGCGCAAGAGGCTTCGGATCAAGTTTTCCGCAGGTACCTTTCTTTGAGGTGCCATGAATAGTGCTGGCGTGGACATAGCTGGCATGATTATGGAGTCCATGCTGGCCCAACCAAACCAACCAGCGGAACGGAGACCACCGACTGCTGCACCCTCTACGGTGCGGTCTAGCCCTAGACATGAGGACAGCCAAGGACTTTTGAACCAAACGCCCACCCCGAGAAGAACAGATCCTTCGCCCAAGAAGGCGGCAGCGAGAGGTCGGGGAAGAGGTCAAGACAAAGAACCATCCTCGGGTCCCTTGTTTGCTATTGAAA